TTTGTTTCGTGTTTCATCGTGTATATCGATTCTTATACGACTAACGATAATAATAATAACTAAATTAACCCATTACTACATAACAGTAATCTTCGAATGTCTGGCGGATGTAAATATTTTAAGTAACTTCATTTCTAAAAAAAATACGGAAGCCGTGAACGAATGGGTTTAGATAGTTCCACCATCTTAGTTTAATAGGAGTTAATTAAACCAAAGATATTATGAAACTTACTAATTATAAATTCCAGGTGGGACTCTCAAACTTTGGCCAATAGTGCACACACACACACACACACACACACACACACACACACATATATATATATATATGATTAAGCAATATTTCTTTTAAACATTTTTCGTTAAATATGAAGGACAAGAAAATTTTTTATTTATTTTTTAAAGCGTTCTTACACTCTTCGTTTCGTTAGTGTGAGTGAGCACAAAAATTGGCCATACCGCCCATTGTGTCAAGCGCTTTCGGCCATTCATTATTCATTTTCAAGGGGGGGTCTTCTTTTGGGGTCTTTAGTTTCTTTTTATGTTTTGACTGCTCAAGATATATTTTTTTGTTATTTGGAATATCAGTAGGAGCATTTATTCGAACGACTGGAATTGAGGTGAGCGTCTTTTCTAAAAAATAAATAGATAAATTAAAAAAAAACTTTCAGCACGCTACTCCCATTGTTAAACAAGGTGGGTCTAACAGTGGAAGAGAGATGTTTTAACACTGAGAACCTTCCTTATAGCGAGATGTTGTCGGTAATTTAATTTACACATAATGTTAGTGTTTTAGACCAGAATATTTCTTAAGGGTTCTCTTAGGGTAGATAGATTTTTTATTGCACTTTGCTCTCATAAGTGACACGTGAGGTGACTACTCAAGGCGGTAGTAGTATGTCCGAAATTGCTAAGTGATTTATGACAAGAAAGGTTTTTAATGGGCAGTGGTATTGATACACTATATTGGTTATCGCTAGACTAAAACTATTGGAGTTATTTTTATTGGTGACAACAATGTTTTTGGTTTCCATTTTTTTGTAAAATATAAGTCTTACATGTTTTTTCTGGAATGGCAGCAGAAATATGGTGTTTACTGATTTTTCGTATAGCGATATATATATATATATATATATATATAGGAAGTGAAAATGTAACGAAATGTACTTAATCAAGTGTATCATTCTTGTATTCAGATTGTAACGCAAATAATTCAACGCTCTTATTCTTTTTGGTTGAGTGATAATTGCTGCACGGATTTCAGTTGTTGTTCTATTGAAACCGGAATCGCGTAGCAGATCCGTGTTATTGTTTCGTAGACAGAAGAATAATAGGAATTCTCAATCTCTACTTTTTTTCTCATTACAAGTGTAAGCCTTGGAGGCATCGTCAAATTAAGTAAGTACAATATTTGGTAATGGCGTTTTCATACATTCGAAAGACACAAGCAGTCGCTTGAGATAATGGAATTGTGTGTACGGAGGAGAATGAGGAAGGTGTATACGATTGAAAGAAAAGAGACGTGACATTGGAGAAGGAAAGAAACTGAAAAAAGACGACAAATATAGTACAACAATGAAGGAATAATATATGAGAATGACACTAGTAACATATACTTTTTATATAAAGGAAAACGGAAAGAAAAAAAAAGAGAAGCAAATGTTGTCGTCAGTGACGTGGCTAAAAACTTACGTCTTTTCTTCCTTTGCCATTGATCGCAATATAAACTTGACTAAAAGCCAGGATATTCGAATTCCCTTCTTCGTTTGAAACATAGAACAAGAGAATCTTTCTTGTTCTTTTAAAAATAGCTAATCTTAGGAAATATCAGAAGGAAGAAATAAGTGGGTGAATACAAGAAAATGATATTATAAAGAAAATGAAATTGTAATTTATATATATATATATATTTATTTGTAACAGACAGTTATTTCTGATGAAAAATTGAGGACAATTTGAAATATCAAATATATATAAAATAAATAAATACTTTCATAAAATAAAACATTATTATTTTTTAATTTGGAACTTTATATATATATATATATATATATATATATATATATATATATATATATATATATGAACAAAAGTGTAACACCACAGAACTTAGATTTGAAAACACAGGGAAGCATTCTTCTTTAAGAATCCTTTTCCCACATTTCATCGGAAGAATGCGTTGGTATATATATATATATATATATATATATATATATATATATATATATATATATATATATATATTAAAAGCATTACGCCCCGAGCAAGTTGTGAAGCCACTAGGATGCAGGGGGTTGCAGAAGATTTGGAGCGAGAGCAGATAGCAGTGATAAAAGAAAGGATGAGGAGAAGGATAGTGGATAGATCAAGGTAACTGGAGATGTCGATTGACATTACATTTGAATAGTTGGAGATTATAGCTCTCAGGGAAACAGTAATTGGGAAGGGTGTTCCACAGGCGAGATGTGCGAGATATGAAGCTATTGGAGTAGAAGAGACGGCTACATTTAGTAGTTTCGACAGTTAAAGGGTGAGAGCGGAATGCCAGCCTCGTAGGGCGTTTGAATTCATGAAGTCTGGGAACCAGTGAATATATATATATATATATATATATATATATATATATATATATATATATATATATATGTGTGTGTTGTGTGTGTGTGTGTGCACGCGCGTGTGTCTGTATGTGTGTGTGTCTGTATGTGTGAGAAGAGAAGAAGAAAATGAAAGAGAAAAGGAAAAAAAAAAAGAAAAAAAAAAACGTCGAGAGCCAGGACAGATGGACAACCAAAAAGAAAATTAGAAAAAATAATCAGAATGAATAAAGTTGGGAAGACAGAACACAATAAATAAATACCGATCAGAGAGAGAGAGAGAGAGAGAGAGAGAAAGAAAGAAAGAAAAAGAGAGAGGTAGAGAGAGGGAGAGAGAGAAAGAGATAAAGAGGAGAGAAAGAGAAGTTAAGGGAGATAGAGAAAGTGAGAAAGTAAGATAGAGAAAGAGAAAAGTGAAAGAGAAGGAGAGAAAGAAAGAGGGAGAGAGAGAGAGAAATGAGAAATCGTTTATTTTGTTAAATGTCAAATAAGAAACTGAAAAAAAATAAAACAAATTAAGAGAAGGGGAAAGAAAATGGCGAATGTATATGTGTGAAGAGAGGGAGCGATAAGGAGGAGGGAGAAGAGAGAATTTAGAAAGAAAATAAAAATAGGAAGTAGCAAAGGTCGAGAAGATATTGATTGATAAACGTTTTTTTTTTTTATCTGTCCAACAACTTAGAAACGCACACGAACGATACACTAATCAAATACACGTGTCAGCTGTCTATTGAAAAAGCCATCTTCACTATCTCCATGTCTTACTCTTTTAGTCAAATCTTGTTTGATTTAAAGTTCCTCGGCAAACTCTCTTGACGTGATTGGATTTTGAGCGAATCCCGATGCAAGAGTAAATAATAATAATAATAATAATAATAATAATAATAATAATAATAATAATAATAATAAGTAGTAGTCGTCGAAGCAGTGTATCTTAGAAGATCTTAAAAAGCCATCAAAATAGAAGAACCTTGAAATCGAAATCTCAGAAATGTGGCACATGAGGATATGAACAATTTTGGGTCGATTGGAAAAAGGTTCCGATAGACTGATTGAAGGATTCCTGGTAGCGCAAGCCTTAAAGAAATAAAAAAAAATTCCTCTCAATTACAGCCCACATATTACGAAGGACTTTATCTATGTAACATAAGTATGATCGTTTTTCCACAAAAAATGTTCAGTGGAAAATATCATGATGCCATTTCTGACCTTAGGTCTCTAGTTGGCACTCGGAAAGAAATGAGTATACTCCAGAAATCCTAGGTAATAAAATAATAATAATAATAATAATAACAGCAATACTACTACTACTACTACTACTAATAATAATAATAAATGTCCTGATGCTAAACCAGGAAAAAATTTAGGCTTCTGATCTGAATTAACTGGAGGTATTAATGTTTATATATTTTGTCCTGGTGCGTAAAGATAGGCGTTTCTTAATGGATTCACCCCAAGCAAAGCGATATGGCCATTAGGATGTAGGCTGTTACAGGAAGTGAAAGAGAATAAAAGGACGGGGGGGCAAGGACAATAAAGGAACAGAGTACAGGAAGACAAAAGATGGCGATTGACGTTGCATAAAATGTTTCACGATTGTCGGTAGCAGAGAACCAAGACGTTAGAAAGGGGTACCACAGATGAGAAGTGCGAGAAAAGAAACTGTTAGAATAGAAGTAACATTTACATCCACCTGTTTTAACAGCAAAAGAGCGAGACCTAGCTTCCAGTCCAGTGGCGCGTTTTAATTCTATGTAGTCAAGGCACCAGCTCATCAGAACATTTGGCACGAACATATTTGTAGCAAATACAGAGGGAAATCACAACATGTCGGTAAGAAAGTGGCTGAAGTCGAGATGCCAGATCAGGATCATTACAGACTCTGCTTTGAATTTTGTCAAGAATCTAGTACCAGATATAGCAGTAGTAGTCAATGCACTGACAAATGCTATCTCGTTCGGTAACAAAAAATGGCTAGTTAGTTGTCAGACCTGTCGAACATCTGACGTAGGGGATGACGTATTGTGTTTCTCTGCTCACGAGAGGAGAGTACTGGGAGGAGACATACTGAGTGAATCTTAAGAGAGATGTTATTTTTTTTAAGTTAGAAGAGTGAGTTTGCTTAGGAGATTTGAGAAGCACATTTAGATAGATACCCTCACTCGAAGAACACAAGAGCAGAATTGGTTACTCGATCTGAAAGTAATTTCTAACTGCAAGCTTATCCGCTGCGTTAATCAAAACCTATCACCATATTGCACGCATTTGCCTGTGGTGCATTTACCTGATATACTCTGATCGCATTGTTGCGTCAGGATTGTTATATTGGGCTTTGGTTATTTGTACTCCAGTTTCACTTCTTAAGCATGCAGCTTTCTCACTTTCTACTAAATTACTACCGTCATACGGCTATACCACGTTGAAAAAATCGGTTGTTGTACGATCGCCGAAGTTAAGCAACTTTGAGCGTGGTCAGCACCTAGATGGGTGACCGCTTGAAAATACCAACTGCTGTAACTTGTGAGTGGGTGGTGTAATGGATAACGGCTCGGAATTGGAAATCGTTATATTCACTTACGCTTACACTTAGGAAAGGTATGAAGGAACTTCTTCTAAGCAATAGCTAAGGGGTAATTAGTAGGAGTTGTATCAGTAAATAATTATAATTTAAAAGGAAATTACAATCTAATTTTTTTCTAGGTTTAAACCATCTATAAAAACCGTAAAATAAGAAATCAAATAAAATTGCGCAACATGCAAAGCCGTTAGGAAGGAAATCAATGAATCTCTTAATTAAACTACTACTTCTATTACTACTAATACTACCACTACTACTACTAACAATAATAATAATAATAGCAATGACTATTGAGTCATTCAGGGGATTTGTCCATTATCAACGTTTTTAACTGGTGGCTGTGTAATTCTCTCTCGTACAAACAAGACAACGCAATTGAACTTAACATACATACGACGAAGAAACATCAACATGATAAAATGAATAATCACCAACATAATAAGACGAATAAATATGGACATAATAAGACGTATAAACACCAACATAATAAGATAAGTAGGACAACTAAACACCAACAACCAATAAATATCAACATAATAAAACGAATAAACATCAACATAATAGGACGAATAAATATCAACGTAATAACACGAATAAACATCAGCATAATAAAACAAAAACAACACCAACATAACATGAATAAACATCAACATAATATTGCGAATGAATATGAACATAATAAAACGAATAAACACCAAAATAATAAGACGAATAAACATCGACATAATAAGACGAATAAACATCAACATAGTAAGACGAATAAACATCAAAATAATCGAAAGAAAGCAAAATATTTTTAGAAAAAATGAAACAAATCCTCACCCAACAAAAATCAAGAAACAAAAAAAGCCATCTTGAACCAGAATAAAAACAGTCCTTATTATTAGCATCCATTGTGTTATCTCCCCTCTTATTTTTATGTATTTAGCTGCAATGACCAAGTTGTTTTATATTTCCCAAAATTTAAGTAAACAGTATTTGTCGGAAATAGAGGAAATAAAAGTTAAGGTTAACAGATTAAATAAACGATTCTGATAATATTTCGTATCCTGTTACCATAGAAACCTATCTGACCTTTTCGATTAATGTCCGGAAGCTGACCAATGAACATCATTCAAATTCGCAGATTTTGTTTATGCTAGTCAATGCTTTCACGAGAATAATCGGTTAGAATAGCAGTTATCGGTGGGAAAAGTGAACTCGGCGAGCCGAGTTCAAATCGCTATCTAGTTAGTCGCGTTCACTTTCAAACATGTCCTTGGGAAAGTCATGTGAATATGCGGAAACTGTGGAAAAGGCAGCAGAAAACTCTCCACTCTTTGTCTCGAAGCGAACACAAAGACCCAAACATATTGCACATGACGTTTTATTCAAATCTTTAAACATGTTACAAACACCAGTAAAAATCCCTGAGAAATTAATTATTTAATTCAGAATGTTTACAGTTGTTTTATATATATATATATATATATATATATATATATATATATATATATATATATATATATATATATATATATATATATATATATATATATATATATATATATATATTTTTTTTTTTTTCAGACTGTGGTCCCAATCCATATTCACAACTTTCAACCGTTTTACACTCCGGCCTTCTTCAGGTGATTGGAATTTCGAGCTGAACCCTTTATTTCGTCCACCAAGGTAGATTGTTCTAGTTTCACGTGCCATGCCTCTTCCGGGTGTCTCATTTATTTTTCTTTAACTCAACTCTCAAAGGGTTTGATTCCTTGAAGACACATGACCAAGTGGATAGAGGCGTTCATTAGATCCAGTGACTAGATCCAAAGATCCAAAGAGTTGTGAGTTCAATACCAGGCATAGTGAACCAAAAAAAAAAAAAAAAATGGAGAGTTGAGTTAAAGAGAAATAATCAGACACTCGTAAGAGGCATGGCCCGTGGAACTTGAACAATCTACTCCGGAGGACGAAATAAAGGGTGTGAAATTAGAAGAAGAAGCCGAGCGTACAAGACCGAAACGTTGTAAATATGGCAGCGAAGATGAGTATAACAGTACGGATCATGTAAATAATATAATTAATCACAATACCTCATCTCATTAATAGACTATATTTCTTTTAAAAGAAATATAGTCTATTAAATTTAACGGATGTTAGAATTCGTAGAAAAATACATCCCTATCCTATCTAAACAAAACACCTTTTTCGAACGTAACTAATAACTGATATAACAAAAGTTAATAAAAATGAACACACTACCACCCCTTGTCTGAATGATTGGATCTCTCTGTATCCTTGGAAACAGGGAATTATGAATTTTTCTGTGCCTTTAAAACTGAGTAAATTTAAAAAAATAAGTTACTCCAAAATTCGCTTGAGGACGAAATGGAACAAATGTTTTTAATTTAATTACAAAATTAAATTTGACGCTTTTAGTTCCCATTTTTGAAACATAGTTAATTTATAATATTAATGCTCTGTAAATTTACATTGAACACTGTTTTGTAAAAATAAAATATCAATAAGAACACCGGATTATATATCTTACTGTTCTTTATATATATATATATATATATATATATATATGCAATGTCTAAAAAAAGAAAAAATTATAAGAACACACGAAAATGAAAAAATAAAAATCTCAACCACAGTACCTTGTCAGTTTTTTAATTAAACTATATATATATATATATATATATATATATATATATATATATATATATATATATAATATATTACAGACTTTCTTCATTACACATTACACTTTTCAGAAGGCATTTCTATTAATAAAAGAAAATTATCAACATTAGCTACAGTTCAGGGACACGCCATCTAAAATGGATTTAAATTTTCAGAATCAATAAGACTTGACAATTTTTGAAAATAAAAGTATCATCATATTCAGTGGATACCGAATACATTAAAAGAAAAATTACACATCATATTTAGAACAAAGTATAAGACGTAAAATGTCTCCAATTCTTGATAAGTACTTAATAAACATCTATGTGGTTTATAATTTCAATCTCAACATATAGAAATTAATGCGTTTATTATCGAAAAAATTCAAGATATAACATGTTTAAACGAACATGCCCATGTACACCGAAATTCTATCTATCTATCTATCTATCTATCTATCTGTTTCGCATCGTTTTGTATATATTCAGGACGCCGACTACACGTTCCGCTATCGCATATAATGAAACGCATCACTGACCATCTTTAGTCTCCGTCGACATTTTGCGTCGATGATACATTCACCTGACCAAATAAATTGGGAAAATACTGAAATGGTGTTTCTTATTATGACGATTTGGATATATGAGTACAGCTTGGATCACTGCCAAAATAGTTACGAAAGAAACCGTTTTCTTTTTCAAAGAGATTTCTAGCAGTCAATAGTGGTAAAACGAAACTTAAAGAATGATCGCTACGCGAAGAAATAGATGATTTGAACGATTTATGATTGGGAAAACAGAATAATGTTATAAGATTGTATAAAAGAAAGCTCACGCGTTAATCACTGAAGGTAAATAAATAGATTCATATTGTTTTCACATCGTACATTATATCTTTTGGGATGTATTTATATCACTTCTGCAACTATTCTATGAGTATATTCATGTTAATTCAAGATATTCTAGCGGTCAATCGTAGTGAAACGAAACTTAAAGAATGTTCGCTACGCGAAGAAATAGATGATTTGAACGATTTATGATTGGGAGCACAGAATAATGCTATAAGATTCTATAAAAGAAAGCTCACGCATGAATCAGTGAAGGTAAATAGATTCATATTGATATCCCATAGTATATTGATCTTTTGGGATTTATTTCTATCACTTCTGCAACTATTCTATGAATATATTTATTTAATTCTTCCGTTGAGCTTTCCTCTTTGGTATTTAGAATTTAGGAATTTAAGTGTAGTAGTTGATTAGCGGAAAGATCCCATCATCGAACAGTAAGTAACAGTAAGTACTATGATAACAGTATATTCTCTCCGACACGTTTCAGGTACTTGCATTCCAGTTTGTTGTAATGTCTACATGTACCCTTAAGTTATATGCTAGCAGTTTATTCGCTAGCAACCGACTATGGAACTATATTCAGATTCTTGTTTCGCAGTCTGTTGCAATATCTATATGTAAATGCATGTTCTATAATAGCAGTTTATTCTCTCACACTTCTCGCTTATGGAAAACTCTTTCAAGTACTTGCATTCCAGTCTGTTGAAATGTCTACATTTAACAGTAAGTTATATACTAGCAGTTTATTGTCGCGAAACTTACGCTTATGGAACAGCCTTTCACGTACAAGCTTTCCAACCTGTTGAAATTTCTATATGTAACCGTAAGTTCTATGATAGCAATTTATTCATATGACTTTTCTCACGCATAAAGCTGTCTTTCAGGCACATGCCTTCCATTCTGTTGATGTACATGTAAGCGTAAGTTATATGCTAAAGTTTATTATTTTGCAATTCTCGCTTACGTAAATAGCATTCAAGTAGGGCTTTCTATTCTGCTGAAATGTCAACAGACAACCGTAAGTATTATGATAGCAGTTTATTGCATAACATCTGTTGCTTATGGAACTGTCTTTCATGTACTTGCTTTTCAGTCGGTTGAAAAGGTCTACATGTAACCGTAAGTTCTAAGCTAACAGTTTATTCCCACGAATGTTTCACATATGTAAATGTCTCTTAGGTACTTGCTTTTCAGTCTGTTGCTAGCAGTTTATTTCCACGAATGTTTCACATATGGAAATGTCATTCAGGTACTTGCTATTCAGTCCGTCGCTAGCAGTTTACTCCCACGAATGTCTCACATATGGAAATGTTTTTCAGGTACTTGATTTCCAGTCTGTTGCTAGCGGTTTATTCACACGAATGTCACACATACAGAAATGTCTTATGTTACTTGCTTTTCAGTCTGTTGCTAGA